TGCCCAATTTGCAATGGCAGTCAAAAAAGCTAACAGAATATTAGGAACCATTAGGAAAGGGATAGATAATAAGACAGAGTATCATAATGCCACTATATAAATCCATGGTATGCTCACATCTTGAATACTGCATGCAGATCTGGTCACCCTATCTCAAAAAAGATATATTGGAAAAGGTACAGAAAAGGGCAACAAAAATGATTAGTGTTATGGAACAGCTTCCATATGAGGAGAGATTAATAAAGCTGGGACTTTTCAGCTTGGAAAAGAGACAACTAATAGGAAAAATGATAGAGGTCTATAAAATCATGAATGGTGGGGAGAAAGTGTTTTTTACCCATTCACATAACACACAAACCAGGGGTCATCCAATGAAATTAATGTGCAGCAGGTTTAAAACAAAGATAAGGAAGCAATTCTACAGGTTGACTGTGCGTTGTGTGAAGAACTCATTGCCAGGGGATCCTGCAAAGGCCAAAAATATAACTGGGTTCAAAAAACATTAAATAAATTGATGGAGGATAGGTCCATCAATGGCTATTAGCCAGTCTCTGGGTGTCCCTAAACCTGACTGCCAGAAGCTGGGACTGGGCATCAGGGAATGGATAACTTGATAAATTGCTCTGTTCTGTTCCCTCCCTCAGAGGCATCTGGCACCGGCCACTGTCAGAAGAAAGGATACTGAGCTACATGGACCATTGATCTGATCCAGTATGACCATTCTTATGTTCTTAAGAATGACATCCTTCTGTACAATCTAGTCTTTGCATGGTTTTTTCCCACATAAAATTGGAAGACGCTGAAGGTTCACTATATAAGAAAATGGAAGGAAGAGGAGCAGTTCTCAAACTGTGGTTTAGGACCCCCAAAGTGGGTCATGACCCCATTTTAATGGGATTGCCAGGGCTGGCGTTAGACTTGCTCAGGCCCAGGGCTGAAGCCAAAGCCCGAGCCCCACTGCCCAGGACTGAAGCCGGTGGTGGGCTCAGGCTTTGGCTTCAGCCTTGGGGGGTGTGGCTCAGGTTACAGGACCCCCACCCTCATCTAGGGCTGAAGCCCTCAGGCTTTGGCTTCGGCTCCACCCACCTTGCCTAGGATGGTGGAACTCGGGCTTCGGTCCCACCCCTCAGGGTCATGTCGTAATTTTTGTTGTCAGAAGCGTGTTGAAGTGCAAAGAATTTTGAGAACTGCTGGATTAGAATGTTAAAAACATTAGGGGAGGAAGGTTTTTAGTTGGATCCTGGGGTGACGGATTCTTCTTAAAAGTGAGGGGGACCATGAGGCTCCACCCACGCTGTGGTCCCTGCCCCTACTCTTTCCACTGAGGCTCCACACACCACCACCACCCCCAGCCAAGCCAGAATCCAGAGCCCAACTGGGGAGCTTGGATCCCTCCACCTCCCCACAGCTGCCCGCATGGCTCTTACCCTGAGCCGGCTCTGGCTTCCAGGCTGGCCAGGGCCTCGGGGACAGAACAGCCGCAGCCAGGCCGTGGCAAGAGCTGCCTGGGCAGCTGTGGGGAGCCACAGACCCTCCACCTGCCTTGGGCAGGGGGCCTTTAGGGTGGGGACACAGGCTGGGGAATGCTCTTGCCCCATCCCCCCAGTCAGGTGGAAGGTCCATGGCTCCACAGCTGCCTGGGCTCTCCGGGACACTCTTACCGCAGCTGAGCTCCAGTTTCTGGCCTGGCCAGGCGGTGGGCCCTCAGAAGGAAGAGGAGGGGCAGGCCCATCCACTTTTTAGCACCCCTGGCTGGATCACATTTACTACTGGGGGAATTCTGTGCCAAAGTATTAAAAATTTCTGAGCACAAATTCTGCAAAATTCTGCATATTATTTGTCAAAATAACACAATATAATCACACCAGTTTCAATTATTTTGGTAATTTATTTCAAAATACCTGTCAGCGAGTACATCTGTAATAACAGACAATAAAAGTTTTTTGACAAATAGATTCTAACTAGACATAGATACAGAACTCTGAATAATAATTCATTTAAACTACAATACAGAACCATATTTCCCTTACCATTCAGAAGCAGTGCAAAGGCTTGAGGGAGTTGGGGTAACAGAGGAGCTGAGGGAGAGGGAAGTAATTGCTGGGAGGGAGAGCCTGGGTGTGAATTTGGAGAGTTGTTGAGTGTGGATTGGAGAAGTTTGGAACAGGTTTTGGGGGGGGGGGGGGGAATACCGTCTCCATGTGTCCTTGCACCACCACTCAGTGAGCCTTCTCCCCTCCATCCCCAGGTGGCCCTGCACCCCCCTGTCCCTATGTGGCCCTGTGCCTCCATTCCCATTCAGCTCCTACCCCAGTCTGTCTTCCCCCAATAGACCTTATGAACCCCAGTCTGTTAATCCCCCCAGCAGTCTCATGTGCCCCACACTGTCTGTGCCCCCCATATCTTATGTCTCCTGACCTGGCCCCACCGGCAGGACACTACTATGAAGGTAGCCTCTTTTCTTCCCTATCAGCAGCTGGGACTGGCCCAGGAGCAGCTGCTCTGTTCTAGCACCACAGTGGCCCTTGGTGGGTAAAAGGCATAACTGCAGCAACTTTCCAGTAGAAGTTACTTTTTGTAGGGGGCCAAAAAATTCTGCTCAGCACAGGAATTCTGTGCATGCACAGTAGCACAAAATTCCCCCAGGAGTAACATGTTGCAAGACTGGTTTACAAGTTTGCCACATCTTTACACCATTTTAGAAACCTGTCAAAACTAGTTAACGACAGCAGTCTTACCAAAATCCAACAGAATCATATGAATTTTGAGTTTTTAAACCAAGTCTCTCTAAAGTGACAAGCCAAAAAAGAGTTATGAAAATGTCCTATATGGGAGTACTTTTCTGAACCCTTTTATATTCCACTTCTCATTTGATTTGCCTCAAATTTACCAGAAAAAAAAAATCCTGACATAAGAGGATACAAATAAAATTTCTGGGAGATTGGTTTAATTACTGTGGAATTGGGGATTGAGGTGTGTAAAGCATCTTTAAAAAGACCAATTTTTGGAGGAATGCTAGTCTTCTATTCTAAAATAATGCAAGGGTAAAAAGGTTTGAGGCAATACTAAAGTCCATTAAAAGCAGAATTTTTTAAAACTATCTTTGATATGAAATTCATTTCAGGTTATTATTTAAAGGGTGTGTTACCAAACTGGATATTTTTTAAAAGTTAGCTAATAAAAATCCAATTGTCCCTTCTATTAAGGTTCTGATAACAGCATTCATCACCCCTGTATATGCATGCAGTCAAACAGAACAACCCACATGGCTAAAAGGAAGACTAATTTTAACTTCAATAAGCATAAGAAAGACATAATGGTAGTTTCAGAACTAAAATGGCAGGGAATCTACACACATTAGACTTATTACTGGTTGTGACACACCAGAAAGTTATAATGCCTAGTAACTACATTACAGGAAGAACCGTATCTACGGACGTTCACTGTGATTTGAGTCCTTTCTGTACCACAGCAACAGGGATACATCTATGAGCTTCACCTCAATTCTGTGAAAAGATCTTGGTCACATCTCTCCTTACTAACAATCAGAAGTTGCAAGAGATTTCAGATGTTCTGAAGGGAAGCCAACTGAGGCTACGTTTACTCTGCACACCTTACAATGGCGCAGCTGTGCTGCTACAGCTACGCTTTTGTAAGGTGCGCAGTGTAGCTGCTCTTTGTCACCGGGAGAGAGATTGCCCAACAAAATAAACCCCGCCCAATGAGGGGCGGTTGATTCGTCGGCAAGAGAGCGTCGACACCGGCATTTTTTGTCGTTAAAACTTCGGTTGTTCAGGGGTGTGTGTGTTTTTTTTTTTTTCACACCACTGAGCGACAAAAGTCGCAACAAAAGTGCAGTATAGAGAAGGCCTAAGTGCTGTAACACCCTGAGTACAGTAGAGGGTTCCCTAAATTGACCAACTCTGTGTTCCGCATTGTAAGGAGACCTAAAGTTCTTCTATTTCAGTTTAAAAAATAAATCAGACTCAAAGATACTTCAGAGTCTGGTAAGCTCCTTACAGCAGGGGATGGGTCTTACTCATTTGTGTAAATGTAAATACTTACAGTGATACAACATGAAGTTTTCATTCCTACTACAGATCCCCAAAACTGCCACAGAGGCCTCTCACACCATGTTTTAAACCTGCTATAGATACATATGGCTGAGAGCCCAAGCAGACACTGACAAGGTCTCAGAAATAATAAATAAATAAATAAATAAAAGCTCCAACACGTGGATCTCAGAGGAGTCATCTTGAGGTGCCTGTAGGATGCTAAGCTCGGAATGGTTTCAGAGTGGTAGCTGTGTTAGTCTGTATCCTTGTGGCACCTTAGAGACTAACAAATTTCATAAGCTTTCGTATACTTTGGCCAAACCAGGCAGTCTCTACGCAAAAGAATAAATGGACACAGACCAGACATCAAGAATTATAACATTCAAAAACCAGTACGAGAACACTTCAATCTCCCTGGACACTCAATAACCGACTTAAAAGTGGCAATTCTTCAACAAAAAAATTGAAAAAACAGACTCCAATGAGAAACTGCAGAACTGGAATTAATTTGCAAACTGGACACCATCAAATTAGGCCTGAATGAAGACTGGAAGTGGATGGGTCACCACAAAAACTAATTTCCCTCTGCTGATACTCACACCTTCTTGTCATCTGTTTGAAATGGGCCACCTTGACTGCATTGGCCTCATTAGCACTACAAAAGTGATTTTTCCCTCCCTTGGTATTCACCTCTTCTTGTCAACTGTTGAGACTAGGCCACTTCCACCTTAACTGAAGAAGTGAGCTGTAGCTCACGAAAGCTCATGCTCAAATAAATTGGTTAGTCTCTAAGGTGCCACAAGTCCTCCTTTTCTTTTTGCGAATACAGACTAACAGGGCTGTTCCTCTGAAACTTAACTGAATTGGCTCCTTAGCACTGACCGCCCCCCCCCCCCACGGTAAGGCAACTCCCATCTTTTCATGTGCTGTGTATTTATACCCACCAACTGTATTTTCCACTCCATGCATCTGATGAAGTGGGTTTTAGCCCACAAAAGCTTATGCCCAAATAAATGTGTTGGTCTCTAAGGTGCCACAAGGACGCCTGGTTGTTTACGCTCTGAAGGAATCGCTTGTCCAGCCACAGAGCCTCAAAACCTGCACCCAAGCAAGGCGTCAGCGACCCAGCCCAGCTCACAGCGGGGAAAAGGTGGGTACATGAGGCGGGGGTGAGGGGCTGGTCGCTGAAGCTCAGGGCTGGCAGCCGGATTTTCCCCTCCGTCCTCAGCGCCTGGCTCCGCCGCTACCAGAGGGGAGGGTGGGACGGGAGGCGGGCTCCTCGCGGCTGCGGGCGATGCGCGGCCCGATACCGGCACTGGGGGCCCGCACGCCTCCTTTCACAGGGGGCGCTGGGAGGAGACGGCCGCGGCACCTGAACCGACCCAGGGGAACCGGCCCAGCCGGACCCCCGCAGCCCCCCGGCCACAGCGCCAGGCGGCTCGCTTGGGCTGGGTCCCTCCGCCCGTCTCCAGCCCCCGGCCCCTTCCCTGCGGTGAGTTTTACCCGCGCCCCGGCTCCCGCAGCCCCCGTTACCTCTCCGGCTCCCCGCCGTGACCGCCCCGCTCGCCGCAGCCCGCGGGATGCTCGCAGCCCGCCCGGCCTCTGCAGAGCGGCACGTGATACCCGGCCAGCCCCTGCCCTGGATAGTGGGGGTGGCTCAGGCACCGCCTCCCGCCCTCTGCGCCGGGGCCCTCACCTCAGCCATGGCGGGCGAGCCCGCACCCCCCCTTCTCGGGTGTGTCCTACGCTGCTCCCCACGGGCGATTTGCGACCCCGCCCCGCAGCAGCTCTGGCCTTTACCCAAGGGCAGCCTGCCCCTTTGTGGGGAGCAGCACTCGCCTGCTCTGGGGACGGGGACTTCCCCGCCAGGCTCGGTAAATCCTCCCCCCAAGCAAAGGTAGGGAAGGGTGGGTAGATGATTTTTCCGCCCCTGGGTGTGTAAGCAATCTCCTGAGGGCTCCAGAGAGCGTCCACCACGCTGGGGAACCCTAGGACTGGAGGAAAGTAGGGTGACCAGCTGTCCTGATTTTATAGGGACAGTCTTGATTTTTGGGTCCTTATATAGGCTCCTATTTACTCCCCCCCCCATCCCACTTTTTCAGATTTGCTGTCTGGTCACCAAAGGAGGAAGGGAGCATCATGGAGTATTTAGGCCTTTCCCCTACATTGAGGCAGGACTAAGTTATCTACAGCAGTGCTACTCAACGTGGTGGTCCGCGGACCGGCACCAGGCCACAAGCCAGCGGCTGCCGGTCTGTGTGCACATTGGAAAAAAAATTGCTGGTCCCCCACCCCAGATCGCTTGAGAAGCGCTGCTCTAGAGGATGGTTTCCACACAGTGGTACGCATCCCCCTGGGGATGCGCAGAGGTCATCCAGGGGGTACATCAGGTCCTCGAGATATTTGCTTAAGTTTACAACAGGCTAGAGCCCTACATCAGGACTGGGATCTCCTGCGTCCCACCAGCCCTACTGCCATAATAGCAGGAGCAGGAGAAAAATTCAAGAAACACAGGAGGAAATGGGAATTGTGGGAGAGGAACAGGATTTTTTTTAAAAAAAATGGTCCTCGTGCGCTAACATGAACGTCTCTGCCAGCAGCCACTACTCTCCAGCCACCCACCTTTGAATGCAGCACCGCCACCAACAGCAGCACAAAACCATGGCTATACCAAACCATGCCCCTCTTACTTCTGCACTGCAGCTGGTAGTAGCACTGCCTGGAGCGGTCTTGCTCTGAAAAGGGTACTGTCGTTTGGAGAGGTTGAAAACCACTGCTCTAGATCATCCTGGACAGGTGTTTGTATTTGGTAAAACTCTCCCACCTCCTCCAGGGGTAGGTAAAGGAGATTCCTAGTGTTTGTGGCATCAAAACAGCAGCCTGTGCAAACACTGCACACACAGCAGTAAAACAATCTGCTAGTGCATATGTGAGGTATATTATACTTCTGTGCAAGAGCGTACCATGGACGACAGAGGTTTACTTCCAGAGGGGCAAATTCATCTTGTTTTTACCCCACCACAATTAAAACAGGATACATATTGCCCTGGAGTCTAGCCACTGGTTTCTTTGACTGTTTTTTAGGAGAAGTCCAGGGAAGCCAGGCACACCAAGGTCTGCGGAACTGCCGATTAAGGTAAATGGCCTGGCACAAGGTTTAGTAAATGAGATTGCCCTCTTTTGCTGTGGATGGCAGAGGGAAGAGAAGAGTGGCAGGTGGATGAAGGTTTACAAACTGGTAATTTGGGGTGGGGTGTTATGCAGGTTCCTTACATGTTCTTCCCCTAAATAAGTCACTGATTGTAGAATGTCTGTTCCATAGAACTTCAGACTACCCCCTTGCTCTTAGGGTTTCCCATTACTAGCCCTTGTGCTGTTACTAGCTAGGTAGAAGGAAGGTGAGCCTCTATCTGACCTTGCTTGAGAAAGTAGCTGAGGACCTCAGGAGCTAGGGTAGTCGTGCTCTGTCTGACTTTTAAAATCATCTAATCCATCCCTCTGCCAGTCCATGGTCCCTTTCTTACATGGGTCATGGGGTGTTTATCAACCGTAAACAATTGATGTGTGCCTGTCCTGCTGCTGTTACATAGGAACCAACTTGACAAGACATACTGCCTCAAAACCAGTGTAGAAACATTAGGTGGAATTCGGACAGTTCCTCCTAATGTTTAAACCCTCCCCTGACTTCTCATTTTCCAGACATGTTGAGCCCTCTGAAATGATGCACCACAGACAGTGGTAATTCAGGCTTCTCTCCCTGCCCACATACCTTACCATTGTTTCTTATGGTAACAACTTTTAGTCACTACTGATTAACTTGCTGCTTCCTGTCATGCTAGACTACTCTCTCCTGTACACAGATGTTTCATTGCTGTACCCTTAGTTACTAACAGAAGGTGATTGTATGTAGGAAGGAGAGCTGGGGGTAGATATAAATTCTTGCTAGAGTGCCTGGATAGCTGTGTAATAAACTGCATTCATCAGAGACAATATTCAGTCCTCAGCATTCTGGGCTCATGAAATTTCAGATAATTAGAGGATTGCACCATTAGAGCTAAAAGGATAGACAGATTGTTCTGCTCATGCTGGAGATATAGAGGATGAAATTTCATTTTATGACCTCAGAAGAGATTCCTTGGAGCAGGGGTGGGCAAACTACAGCCTGCGGGCTGGATCCGGCTCCTCAGGGCTTTGGATCCGTCCCACAGGATTGTCACTCTTGTGGCGCCGCCAGTCCCAGAAGCGTCCGGTACCATGTCCCTACGGCCCCTGGGGGAGGGGAGGCAGAGGGCTCAGTGCCCGGCTAATGGGAGCTTTGAGGGAGGTACCCACAGGCAAGGGCAGTGCACTGAGCCCTCTGCCCCCCAAGCCTGCCCTGGCGCATGCTGCTGCCACCCTGGAACTGCTCCAGGTAAGCGGCGCCAGGCCGGAGCCCGAACCTCTCCTGTACCCCCACCCCAACTCCCTGTCCTGAGCCCCCTGCTGCACCTTGCACCCCTCCCTGCATCACTGCCTTGAGCCCCCTCCTGCACCCCAACCCCCTTCCCTGAGCCCCCTCATAAACCTGCACCCCTCCTCTGCCCCAACCCCTTGCCCTGAGCCCCTTCCTGCACACCGCACCCCCCAACCCCTACATTCATGGTCATGCATGCAATTTCCCCACCCAGATGTGGCCCTCAGGCCAAAAAGTTTTCCCACCTCTGCCTTAGAGAATATACCAACAAGATACTTTCAGGACCTAAAGAAGGAGTTGATAAACCCTAAACACTTGTCATATGGAGGGCTTGGGATAAGAAGCTACAATTATTGCTCAGTAATGTGAGCCAAGAGCAGTCGCATAGAGGTACTCATAATTTAAAAACACTTATTACAAAGCATAGTGCTTAAGTACATCGAAAGCAGGAAGCCTGCTAAACAACCAGTGGGGCCACAGGAAATCGGGATGCTAAAGGAGCACTCAAGGAAGATAAGGCCATTGCAGAGAAACTAAATGAATTCTTTGCATCGGTCTTCATGTCTGATGTGAGGGAGATTCCCAAACCTGAGCCATTCTTTTCAGGTGACAAATCTGAGAAACTGAGGTGTCATTAGAACAAATTGATAAATTAAAAAGAGTAAGAAATCACCAAGACCAGATGGTATTCACCCAAGAGTTTGGAAGAAACTCAAATATGAAATAGCAGAACTACCAGCTGTGGGATGTAACCTATCACTTCAATCAGCTTCTGTACCAGATGACTAGAGGATAGCTAATTTGACACCAATTTTTTTTAAAAAAAGGCTCCAGCAGTGATCAACAATCACAGACCAGTAAGCCTAATGTCAGTACCAGGCAAATTGGTTGAAACTATAATAAAGAACAGAATTATCAGACACATCAATGAACATGATTTTTGGGGGAAGAGTCAACGTGATTTTTGTAAAGGGAAATCATGCCTCACCAATCTACTAGAATTCTTTGAGGAGGTCAACAAGCATGTGGACAAGGATAATCCAGTGGATATAGTGTACTTAGATTTTCAGAAAGCCTTTGACCAGATCCCTCACCAAAGGCTCTTAGGCAAAGTAAGCTGTCATAGGACAAGAGGGGAAGTCTTCTCATGAATCGGTAACTGGTTAAAAGATAGGAAACAAATGATAGAAATAAATGGTCAGTTTTCAGAGTGGAGGTAAATACTGGTATCTCCCAGGGGTCTGTACTGGGACCAGTACTATTCAACATATTCATAAATGAGCTGGAAAAAGGGGTAAACAGTGAGGTGGCAAAATTTGCTGATACAAAACTACTCAAGATAGTTAAGTCCAAAGCAGACTGCAAAGAGTTACAAAGGGACAAAATGGCAGATGAAATTCAATGTTGATAAATGCAAAGTACTTCACATTAGAAAACATTCTTAACTACACATACAAATGATGGAGTCTACATTAGCTGTTACGACTGAAGAAAGACCTCTAGATAGTTCTCTGAAAACATCTGCTCAGTATGCAGTAGCAGTCAAAAAAGCTAGCAATGTTGGGAATCATTAGGAAAGAGATAGATAATAAGACAGTAAATATCATAATGCCATTATGCAAATCCATGGTATGCTCACATCTTAAATACTGCATGCTGATCTGGTCACCCTATCTCAAAAAAGATATATTGGAATTGGAAAAGGTATAGAAAAGGGCAACAAAAGTGATTAGGGTATGGAACAGCTTCCGTATGAGGAGAGATGAATAAGACTAGGATTTTTCAGCTTGGAAAAGAGATGACTAAGGGGGGATATGATAGAGGTCTATAAAATCATGAGTGGTGTGGAAAAAGTGTTATTTACTCCTCATAATAGAAGAGCCAAGGGTCACCAAATGAAATTAATAGGCAGCAGGTTTAAAACAAACAAAAGGCAATATTCCTTCACAACACATAGTCAACCTGTGGAACTCTTTGCCAGAGGATGTTGTGAAGGCCAAGACTAACAGGGATCAAAAAATAACTACATACGTTCATGGAGGATAGGTCCATCAATGGCTATTAGCCAGGATGTAAAACCATGCTTTGAAGTGTCCCTAACCTCTGTTTGCCAGAAGCTGGGAACGGGTGACGGGATGGATCACTTGATGATTACCTGTTCTGTTCATTTGCTCTGAAGTACCTGGCATTGACCACTGTTGGAAGACAGGATACTGGGCTAGATGGACCATTGGTCTGATCCAGTATGGCTGTTCTTATATTCATAGGATTAGACACCAAAATTAACTGATTTCACAACAGTCATGTGAGGTAGATGTGTTATACCCATCTGTAAGATGGATATGGGCATAGGCACAGTAAATCACTTCTCCAGTGTCACTCATAGGCAGAGTCAGGTATAAGCCTCTAGTCCTTACTCCGGGTACCCTTCTTTGAAGCCTCTAGTCCTTACTCCGGATACTAGAGAAGGCTACCCTGGCCCTGATCTTACAAACATTGACATATAAGTAAGTGTACAGACTTGAATAGTTTCACTGAGCCTATCATTTTTAGCCATTGGAATATTTACCAAGGGTCATGATAGTGATGTAGAATCTATGCCATTATGAATTTTAAAATCAAGACTGGATGTTTTTCTAAAAGATATGCTCTAGGAATTATTATAGGGAAGTTCTATAGCCTGCATTATACAGGGAGTCAGACTAGATTATCACAATGGTCTCTTCTGACCTTGAAGTCTATGAGTTAATATTTCCAGGACTTAGAATTGAAAATTACATCTGTTCAGGATGTATGTTCTGTTAAGAATGTATAGTTTTGCAAAGACAAAATAATAGTGCCATAAGCAAGCTAAAATATAACCTGCTAACAAAATAGCAGCTAGGAATATAAAGAATATTGATTGGATATAGGAGTATTTTAAAATGTACATCTTCTCTTGGAAAAAAAGGTGTTGTCATAATGCGAGTTAGCTCATACATGACAATTATAGCAAAAAATAAGGCAGTTTGTAGTTTTTGCTTGACTTAGCAAGTCAAATTAAAGACTATGGAGAAACCTAGAATTTTCTTCACACAGCCTTTACCACATATTGGTTAACACCAGGTAAGAGCACACCTTTGTCTCCTCCCCCCACCCTGCAGTGAAGATAATGCCAAACAGGGCTTTGTGAAACTTTCTGATGTATCTGAGTTTTACCATTTTTATGAGCCTTTAGTTCTGCAGCTGCTACTAATCTCCATTTCCCCTTTATCAGAGTCCCCTTAAAAACTCACATTTTCCACTCACATTCTGAGCCCTAAGTCCTTTGATTCACTGTCCATCAGGCTGGCAACAGAGTTTGTCAAAAACAGAACTCAAACATCCCAAAACAAATACAGTCTTTCACCAGCTCTAGTTCCACATAGTCTCCTATTGGGCTTCCCCACCTTACTATCAGACCACCTACCTCTAGCAGCCGGAGCTGCTGCTGCTGCTGCTGCTGCTACTTACTTACTTACTTCCATCCAAACAAACCCTCCCTACAACCTCTGGATGCCTTTTATATTTGAATCACCTGATTCCTCTCAGATGGAGCTCATCTTGTAACTAGGGCTAGCTCAACCCCAGGCTCTCCAGCCCAGGGGCAAGTCACCCTGTTACAGAGCCAAAGATTTCCAATTAAACACATCAACACAGAAATC